AAAGGAAAAAGTGTTTAATGAAGAAACAGATGAAGAAACAAGAGAGAAAAATGAAGAACATTGATGCGAACTAATTGGAACATTGAGACAGTGCGACGGACATATAAGAAGAACTGAATTATTGCAGTTTAGTGTAGCCAAAGTTTGTGTGAACTTTGTGTTGATATTTGATATTTAGTCCGAGGACGGACGCTTTGTACCTCGGGGGGAGGCAATGTTGTATATGATTATATAATGTGTTATATAATATCTGGAATTTACGCGTCGGGTCCCATGAGACGTAAAATAGACTATTTAATGGCGCATACCAGAGACAAATAAAATATAGACCAACTAAAATGCTTCCACTGTGTATTTACTCTTCGTAACACACGAAAATAGTTCATAGATACTATTGGCAAAATGACCAAGAAGCCCTCGCAAGCCAAAAATACAATTAGAAAACGAACAGCGACAAATTGTAAGTTTTTCACGACTTTCCATACTTAGGTTCATTGACCATGAACAACGTATTTAAGCGACGCGTCAAGGAACAGTGATCACAGATCTTTTCTTTTAGAGCGGATTTCGTATGACTGTGCAAAAGCACGGATCACAACATGGACACGGTACTGCACGGTCACGGAACCTCGCCTTCTAGGATTTCAAGTGAAAGTAAACATTTTTCAATGCATCACGGCTACGGCACGGTACGGACACAGCACGAACGTACCGTGTTTTTTTTGCACAGTCATACGAAATCCGCTCTATGCTTACTGTACCTTGACGCCTCGGTCCAATGCTTTCATATTCACTGGACCTGAGTATGAAAAGTCGTGAAAGTCGTGAATATACCTGGAGTTCCTGGACCACCAACAAACTTATGTGGAGAAAGAAACACTGCATCCTTATACCTAAATTTGAACCATAGTAAGTAGAAGAAGATTACTACAGTGCGAATCACAATTTTATGAATTTTCCCTCATTTTTACCTAATTACTACTAGCAAAACACAACACACATTCGACCGGCACGAGTGTCAAATACTTTTTGTGTTTTCTCGCTTTTTTTAACTACATTTAACATACCCATTTTCAGTTGGGTTCATATCTATTTCAAGATAAGGTCCCGCTGTGGCATAGTCCCAAAAGGACAGCGCTCCATATTTATGACA